CTGTATGTACAAAAAAAAAAAAAAAAAAAACAATAATAAATGTAAGTAGTTCACATAATAGTATACTTAATAAATATATATATTTTATACTTAGGTACAAAGGTATATATAGACGATACGCGCGAGCTCCTGCCGGTAGGATGGTATCAGATCTCGAGAGTGTTCCCGGGACACATACATACACCGTTTAGGATTGCCTACAAAATTGATTAATTTATGTGCAGTAATACACAGTGTATACGTATAAATATACCATACGCGCGCCGTATCTACACGTATACACATTAGTACATTACGTTTTATACTTTAAAAACACTGCAGCTCATCTTTATAGTTATACCGACCGTGTAATTATTATTATTTTCATTTTTTTCTTTCATTTTTCATTCCCCCGACTCGGAAATTAGCTCGCTGCCGCCCATTCGGCTACGGTAGTTATCGTCGTGATAATATTCACAAACATGCCGCACACTGCTGTATAGATGTATGGGCATCTCGTGTAGTGGGTGAGTAGTGGGTAGGTTACATTGTAATGCACATAGAATAATACACGCGGCAGGTAAATGTATCATAACATGGTAAAACCATGCGCCGCTGCGTGTCGAAGATAAACATGACGTGTAATAATAATTATAATGCGAACGATATTATATTACGATGACGATTGCGCGACGACTGAAACAAAAAAAAAAAAAAAAAAATCATAATAATATTATTCGGCCGGAAGACGCGTATGATGTGTGCGCGGCGTCGTTATCAATTTATCACGAATTATCTTGTGCAGATGCATTCGGTGCATTTAATGTATGTATCATCATAATAATACAATAGGTATCGTGTATACTACATTATAATGCTACGTTCAGCGGTTTCCGACCAGTGCCACGTTCACAATTTTTGCAATATCCACAAAGGTAGGTACTTTTATTTGAAAAACATTTTAAATACTATTCATTAGTTGAATAATTGGACTAGAATATTTTAGTTTATTTTACAATATTAACAAAATATATAATAATAGTACAACGATCAACAACTACAACCTGCAGTTAAGTGCAAAGGGAAAACCGTGAAGTGGCAACCTCTGGTTTTTGTGAAGAATAAGAAGTAATAACAGGTAATAATTATACTTAGTATTGACTATAGTATCAGCAATTACTACATCGAGTAATTAAAACTACGACAGTAATGCCTTTATGGGGTTTTAAGGTAGGTGGAATATTATAGATTATCCTCTAAACAATTTTAAGTTCACCACACGCCATTGAGTCTACAATAATTACATTATAATTTATATATAGTGTTATATAATTGTCGGGTTAATCGTTATCACGATTCGTTTTGTTGTTTTATACAAAGTTTATTTTGCGCTCCCAATCGTATATCCTAGTCGCGACTTATTTGTACACTGCTATTACATAATATAAATATTGGTAAACACAGAGACGATCCAAATTTTTTCGGGATCGGGATCAATGATTTTAGTAATGGTAGCATCTTAATCGCGTGTATTATTATTCGATTAACACACGAGTCTATCTGAAATTCTTTGGTCTCCTTTCCTTTTGAACGGCTTTTGATATTCGACACATATACCCTTCACAATACAATACATAGAATCATCTGAAGAAAAGTCGTAATTTAAAACTCAACAAACGTAGATATTCATTTTTAGACGTGTAAAACGGTCATTAATATTATTATAATATTTTATAAAGGTGCATAGGTAGGTACGAATAATTTATTATGCGTTGTTATCGCTTTCGTACCGTGTGGTATATAACAGAACATTCAAAATGCTCGTGTAATGTGTTGTTTCACTTTTGAATTATACATCTACTCAATATAATATAAATACGCATTTTGTCTGACACAGTTGATTTCTAGGGTTAATTGAATGTATTTAAAAAATTTAATTTGTCTACGCAGGCATAATAGTCACTAGTCACCATTAGTTTGACCGGGTAGCAATTGCTTTGTGTATAATTATTATTAATATGGATAATAGTAAACGCAATTGATCAATCTGATACAGGTTGATATAACGATAATAATATATTATACATATAAGTAACTGAAAATTATGTATATTATAATATTATGTGTAGACGAATGATACCGCTGAATGATGTAGGTACATAATATAATACCCTATACGGCTATACGTATAAAATAAAACATGATTTACAACATAATAAATTTAAAACGGTTTTCTACCGGCGTCCATCTAAATATATACATTAAAATATTCTATATAATTGTAGTAAACATTTCACGTTATGAAAAGTATGACGGGCGTCGGTACCTATATAATATGGGCCGTAATATTATTGATCGATTTATTTTGCAATGATAAATTTTCGATGTACAAAAAATTTTCGTTTATTTTAACTCTGACCCAGTAACATTCTATTAATTAAGTAATATTTTCTCATATTATCAAGTATATAAAACGAATAAACAATTATACAGCGCTATAAGTATTTCAAACACCAATAGTTGATAAAAAAAAAGAAAAGAAAAAGCACCTCAAATAGTATTAATTTAAGGCTAGACATTTTATGCAATAAAAAATGGTAAAATATAGAAAAAAAAATATGTTTTAAATTTATCAAATATTAACTAATTTTAACATAAAAAAACAAAATCGAAGAATTTACCACGTTCACGTTAACTTATTAATGGTATGTCTACACGATAAGTCGATAAAAAAAATAATAATTACAGACGTTTATTAATTAAATTTGATTTTAATTTTTTTTCCTATAAATTTTTAATAACTAAATATGCAATTATATAGATATTGCTGATAGAAATATGCGGAAAAAAATATTCTATTACATTTTTCTATCAGTCATAAAAAAAAAAAAATAGCTTACAATAATAACCAATTTTCATAGAAATCTTAGCACATATATTTTATTACTATTGTTTTTTATTTATTGTAATAAATTATCTTTCTGACACAATTATGTTAAATTCACATTTTTTATGCTAGACGTATAGCTAGTGGCCTAATTAAACGAGGTAACTATGCTTTTAAAATTTAAAATTATATTATCTACCACTCTCAAATCATAGAATTACTTTTTTGTTTGTTCAATGTTTTACATGATTGAGTACAGGACTGTATGTTCAACTGGAAAGGGACGTATTTAAGGCTACAGTATAGGGAAAGGGTGTTTATACTTAAGTAATATATTTTTACCAAATTTCATAATACTGATAATGATTTAATATATTATAATTTATAAGTTATACATAGATATTAAAATATTTTATCTTTATTCTGAGCTTCATAAATAAACTGTACACAATGTATGTATAATGTATATTATAAAATATTGTAAAATTTATTTATCTTACAATTAGAAATATAAGCAAAACGTCAATAATTCAAGTATTTCTTACCAATTTTTTTTAAATTTAGTAGTACTATAGCGTCTGTAACTGATTTTTTAGTGACTTTTCAAAGATTAGTATAAGATTTTGGTTATTTTTGTTGGTTAGTCACTGCGCTGCTGTATTTAAATAAATTAAAATAAATTGTTATAGTTATGTCATAATTAATTTATCAATACGATGCATGTCATTTTAATTATGACAATAAATACTAAATTATAGAATAAAGAGCATTTCTTTCAAAGTTAATGTTCTGTGAAATCAATAATAAAATGCAATATTCCTTTTAGGTATTTATTATTTTGAACTGTGGATTGAATTCTTTGAGGAGCCATCCACACATCTAGAGTCTAGCGTAATTTATATTTGCTATCCTAGCGTTTCTTAGTTTTGGACGTCAACTTCACAACTATCGTTTGATCCGCTTATGCTGAATGTTTCGCCTCAGGCCGTCTTCTCTTGCTAGGGTATTAGTTTTCTGAAAAATTTTACTTTTGTCATTTGCTATAGTTATAGTCTACGGCGTTGTATCGGTGCAATCAATTTTAAACTTCTGTCTACTCTCCTAGTTTCAAACAATCGTTCCGCACCGATTGCGCGCTTTTCCACTATCGACCTATTTTCAAAATTAAATAGAAACCAATCTCTTCAAGTTCGCGTGTTTCGTACAATCGTGGTGTCAGTGATGTTATCGTATCAGTTTTTACAGCCCACTTAAAATTATTGTAACAATATTAAATAGGCGTTCGAAAAAAGGTGTCGATTCGGGGGACGACATAATCCTTCTACGCACACACACACACATGCATGCATACACAAATCACGACGTCCAACAGGTCGTCGGCATCGCCGTCGGTGCGTGTCGGTGCGTGTGCCCGTGTACGGTACCTTGTTCGCTGTGGAAATAATAATAACGACATCGAAACTTATACCGCTCGAACTGTATACCTACATACAATTCGGGGAGACGACAAAGTCATGATATTGCGGTGAGGCGTGTGTGTCGGAACAGTATATGATTTCATTTCAGTCACACTCGGGTGTTGGATTTCATTTTTGTCCATATTGTATGAATACGTGTACCCATATCTAATAGTATTATGTCTTGGCCGGGTGGATTTGGTTGGACTCAACTGGACTTCATTTGGGGGGGGGGGTGAGACGGGATGAACCGGGAGGTAGGCTTGGCGGCCGTGCGAGGAGGAGGAGAGGCGAGAAATTCTCGCCATACATATCGTTATTACGTGTGTATATATAAATTACCACGCGTACATGTCACCGTCGTGGCGGTGGTGCTGATGTTTGGAAGGGGCGTAAATCGAGAAGGCGACGAGGACGAGAGGAAAAAAATAAAATATATTAAAACAACAACAACAACAACAACAACAACGACTACGACGACGACGGCCTAATGTTGTATAATCTCGCAATAGTAATGGATTTTACGCGTAGTAACCGGAGTTCCGTTTCGGTTTAGGCGTGCGGTTGCCGGCGGTCAAAGACGAAGGTGGACCGCCGCCGCACCTGTATATAAAACACACCGCCACCTCCTGTTGCCGCCGCGGTGCTGTTGCTTCTGCAGCTCGGTGCTCCTGCTGCCAGTCCCTCCTCCGCCGTCGCAGCTACGACGAATGCGCGCGCGGAGCGGCGGCGGGCGAACAGTGCGACCTCGCCGGTAATTAGTGGACCGGGCAGGATGTGGTCGGAGTCTGGACGCGGCCTTCGTTCGTTACAGTGTGCTATCCCTACATAACATCCATGCTCCATCCGGATCGGGCGGCGGTGCGTGCGTGTCGAGCCTCTCCACTCACGCACACGCACACGCACGCACGCACGCACCGCACAGCTCAGCGCGCACACGCGGGTTCTCGCGCGCGCGCCGCGCGACGCGGCGGCGGGTTTCGCGGAT